GAGAGAGAGAGAGAGAGAGAGAGAGAGAGAGAGAGAGAGAGAGAGAGAGAGGACGCATGACGATGCCGTAGGCATGCCTATTACATGTGTCCAGCCTCGAAAGCGGCCGTATTCAGCTAACTTTGGCTGTGAAAGCGGTTGGATGCATTATCTGGAGTACAGGGGCAGACCCTGGGCCACAGGCCACCTGGATGACGAAGACTGCAGTTTCAAACTCTGCCGTGTGACTTTTGTGCAAAGTGGAGTTTGAACTGCATTTCAAACTTCCGACCTGACTGGACTGCAGAAACCGTGTTCGGACTGCATTTACAAAGTTATACCCAGGCTGCGCCCTAGTTTTCTCAATAATCTATTATTGTTGTGAAGGAGGATCGGAAGGAAAGAAAGAGATGAATAAAAGAATTTAGGGACCCATGGATAGACACAGAAGGTTAAATGTGTGACATTGACAAAGAAGATACTTGTAAGGACCTGCCAAAACACAGACTGAGAACACTGCTGATTTCTGAGTTTTGGTGCTGGAATGTATGCCTTGCTGAGATTCCCACGTTCTGCTGAGTTCGCTAAGTCTGTGTGTCTGGGTGCTTGCTGGCCTGTGTGCCTGTCTGAGTGCTTGCTGGCCTGAGAGTGTGTGGGGCCGGCCAGGGCACTTGTTTGTTTGGGAGGCCTGCGAGGCCGGTACTTACCTGTGGCCGTGACTTTGAGGGTTGCTGCGGGGAAAACACGCAAGTGGCTGAAGGGGTAGCTTAGGGCACACTCAAGTAGCGTAGTGTCGGTATGGGTGGCACTTGAGTAGCAGTAGGCCGAGCACAAGAGGATAAAAAGTTAGCACCTTTAGGGATAGAAGTCTGGTACTGTAGGTCTAGGCCCTGTAGGAGTAGATAACAGGTCAGCAATGATGTTTCCCTCCGAAAGGGAGGAGGTACCGGTTGCTTGGAGCCGTTCGGCCTGGAAGTCACCGCCTGGGAGGAGCGAGTTGCTCCTCCTCATTTGCTGCATGCAAGTCTGAGTGTCATGCTGCTGGAGCGCCTGGTTGGAGAGCGCTAGTGCGCAGCGCTAGAGGAGGAGTGCCTGGGTGACCACCTTGGCTATAGTGGAAGACCCCAGTTGGGAGGAGGAAGAAGGGGATGAGGGAGGAGAGTGCCAGGGGTACTTAGCTGGCTATGGTAGGCGCCATCTTCATCTCCTTGGTAGGTGCAGCATCTAGAAGGCCCCTAGTGGGGTAGCGCCACATCGAGAAGGCTTCGAGGCAGCGTCAAGCACGACGACCTGAAGACTGGAGAACATAGCTGGTTTTGCGTCTCTTTTGAACGCCAGGCAAGGCCCTTAGTAGTCCGCCATAGCCCAGACCAGTCGGAGGTGGAGGAAGATGGAGGTCATGGCTATGGTGGACCTTATATTGTGTTGGCAGTAGAAGAGGGATTCGGACATTGATTCTGGTTACTGTCTGAATAAGAGAGCGGGAGATAAGGAGGAGTTGGTGGGCGAGAGAAGGGGGAATTGTCATTGGTCTTTTGCTGGGGTTACATAAGTAATCACAATTAAACCACCAGTACTTCCTAAAGTCGTGCCCATTAACGCTACGCGATTTTAGGAAAGTACGGGCCACTACAGGAGCGCCCAAATTCATCCAACTAGAAACGTTTCTACTCTATTTTTTTCCGCGGCCGATAGCTGGGCCAAGTACTGGTGGCTTAAAGCTTTGGGTGCGTATTCAAATAAGGGAGAACATCTTGCCATCATGAAAACACCTGCTGTTACCATAGTACCTGCATGAATCAGAGCTGATACTGGGGTAGGGCCTTCCATAGTGTCCGGTAACCAAGCATGAAGTCCTATTTGTGCGGAATTTCCTACAGCTCCAATACAGAGTAAAACACAAATGCCAGTTAGTGCATGAATTTTCGTATTAAAAAAAATGAAAGAAACTTCCCACACAAAGGCACTAGCAGAAGCGAAAATGGTTGAAAACAAAAAAAAGTCTACTGTTTGAAAAATAGCAAAACAACGCATAATACCAAGAGCTAATTCTTTCATCTTCCTCTTCTTCTTTGGTCCCTCTCCCCTCTCAACTTCATTCATTTCATTTTGCAATTGGACGGCATTGTATTTCCTTGTGTATTTGCAGTTCGGAATTGGCAAGGGTCATAACATACTAAAAAAACTGGAAGAACTGGAGTTGTGTAGCATCGTGTTCGGGTTCGGTGACCGAACCCGAACGTTCGGGACCGAACACGAACGAGCACCGAAACTCTCCGAACGCGAACATAAAAAAAAAATAAAAAAATTCTCCGATAAATCTGAAAAAAAAAAAAAATGTTATGTCAAATAATAATACAAACACAAACAACTTTTGCCTTGGAGGCATGCTCAAATTCGTAAACAAACTAGAGTTAAAAATCAAAAACCAAAAAAAAAAATCGTTTTTTCTTTTTGGTTTTAGAATATGTTCGGCCGAACATGTTCGGGTGGCGTTTGGCCGAGGCCCTGAACATGTTCGGACGTTCGGAAAAGCTTCGAACATGTTCGGTGTGCTACACAGAACAGGAGTACCCACGACAAGAGATGGGCTCTCGGACTCTGGGAGTGGTGGATTGCTTCTCAACCCTTTGCCAGGGGACAATTCTACATCAGCAACTATATATCCAACACACAGAGTGAAGTCCCACGTAGATAGCCAAGCGTTGGACCAGTCACTTCTACGTTTTTTATGGTGTCGGGTTTTATTCTCTGGCAGACGCGAGGAATTCCCATGGGAGGAAGGGCAAGCCCTCCCCTCACCTGTGTGATGTGTATGCGCGCCGAGTATGTTTTTTTGTCCTCTCTCGGTAGTGACGCTCACTTAATTACAGGTAAAAGATACATCGACGATCTTTTGGTTATTGGCTTTTTCAAGAAAGGGGACCAAGTGAGCCGTCAACTAGCCATGGAACGGCCGAATCTCGTCACAAAAGATACATCGACGATCTTTTGGTTATTGGCTTTTTCACGAAAGGGGACCAAGTGAGCCGTCAACTAGCCATGGAACGGTTGAATCTCGTCACCCGCTGTTACCCCGAGGGTCTTTAGCTTGAACGAACCGGTACTGGGGCTGGGGTACTTGATTTCCTTGAGACCCGGCTGTTGGTCATTAACGAAGCATCCCTGGTAATGACTCATAAGTTTAAGAATGGGTGCTCAATTTGGGACAATGGTCCCCTAAGATTCCGTACATACAAGGACTTTGCTTCCTTCGGGCCCCGCCTTGCGAAGTTTGCGACCGTTGCCAATACCATCCTCAGGATCTCGAATAACTCCAACCAAGAAGGGATTACCTTCCTCAATACCCTCAGTCTGGCTGAGGAGCTCCGGAAATCGAA